GTTTATTTGTAGCTTAAAATACCTACTGGTAATTAAAACTCCAGTAATTGGCAAGGTCTACTGTAACCGTACCCATTTGTAGTGTCAAGAGACAAACATGTAGCATTAACACAGTATGAACAACATTTAGGAATCATTTCTATAAGAACATTATCCAATATTTTATGTGAATGGTACGATTGCTTCGCTCACGAGGAAATGTAACCCAGGGTGAGCTAACCTCTGACAAACAAACAAACAACATAGCTGTAATAATGGAGGTAGTGAAGTTCACGGCGTTACCCGAGGCATTTAGTGAGACATTTATTTCTTATTAAAGGCAAAGAAGACAGAAAAAAAAATCTAAGCTGCTAATGACTTAAAATAGTTACCGCAGTGGATGTTTTCATGCTCCAGATCAGCACAGGGCAAGAACTCAGTGAAATTCAGTGTGTAAGAGTAAATTTTAACATTACACTACCTATTAAACTTCTTCTTGCAGCTTTTCCCTCTTCAGGGGTCTCCAGCGAGTCGTCCTCCTCCATCTCACTCTGTCCTCTGCATCCTCTGTCCTCACTCCAACTACCTCCATGTCCTCTCTAATTGCATCCTTAGATCTCCTCTTTGTCTTTTTCCTGGCGGCTGCATTTCTAACATCCTTTTACCAAATATACCCATTGTACCTCCTCTGGACATTTCCAAACCATCTCAGTCTGGTCTCTTTAACTTTGTCTTCCAGTTGTTCAACCTGTGCTGTTCCTCTGATGATCTCATTCCTAATCTTATCCATCCATGTCACTCTTAAGGAGAACCTCAACATCTTCATTTCTGCCACTTCCAGTTCTTTCTCTTGTCTTTTTGTCAGTGCCACTGTCTCCAGACCATACAACATAGCTGGTCTCACCACTATCTTGTAAACTTTTCCTTTGACCATCCGGACATACACTGAGCACTTATGTTTGGTAACACTTAGCATGATAAAAAAAATGGCTACAAGTTGTGGCATTAGCTTACTTACCGCCTTTGTTTGATGTCGTACGACAGTAAACTTCTGTGATAAATCCACAACGCCAAATATTATTACTCGTTATTCCATGAAATATGCAGTATAAAGCTTTGAAAACTCTAGAAACCAAAGAGGTTGCTTGTAGCTACTTGGCTTCTTCGCACGTCAGCGCCAAAACTCCAAAAGACGCTGATTGGCTGGAATGAAAGTTCGCCTGTGATTTCATTGGTTGAATTTTTTACCTCTTCATAAAATTTTGTCGTCGCAACACAAATCACATGACACAGGTTTGTTTTGACCGGGTTGGTGGGGTGGTGGTGTTCCTTCCTCCATTCGGAACACATTTTTCATGCGCTGCATACAAACAGATTGTAGAGACCACTGCACTTGGGTTGACAGTTTATTATAAAGTGGGAGATAACCAGATATTTTGTTTGGGCATTTGCCCAGTTGCCCAAATGGTTAATCCGGCCTTGTGGCCAGTTCACAACTGCACAGCATAGATTTTCTTGTGCACAGAGAATGTGCGAGCAGTGCGTGATTGTGCAGGCACGCAGTTTAGAGGGAACACTGGTAATAAGGCTGTTTGCATTTTGTTAAGAGGTGGGACACAATCTTATTTCAGACATAGAGCCCAGCCAAAGCCTTAAAGTCCTCCATCTCTGAGCTTTGGTTAATTGCAGAGAAAATTGTAATACTGAAGACGAACAAATACTATAATGCTGAGCCCTCCGTACACATGAAATCATACCTGATATTCCCATCACTGTTTTCAATCCTTCTGAGGATCCAGCATCTTTTCTCTGGTGGTTCATTATAGTTCAGCCACAAAGTAAGATGCAGTTTTTCCTCCGTTGGCCGTTTGTCAGCAAAGTGAAATGAGCACACATACAGCGTTTTGGGTGGTCTCTTCAAGTTCACATTTTTCAGCCACATTCGTCTTAATTCCTCATCTGTAGGTAGGAGATGGAAACCATACTGCTTTTCACAGAAACACACTTTTTTTTTTGTTTGTTTGTTTTGGGTCGATGTTCAAAATGTTGTTGTTGTAGCCACTGATTTAGTTTGGCCTGGTTGTTTCTGCAGCCGCGAGCAGCACAATAGGTACCTGAACTCCGCAAGGCTATTTTAGTAAACTTTATGGTAGTTAAATAAATGTAAACAATACAAAATCTGGGTTTTTATCTGCCAAACTGAACGCAAATAACTTTCAAATAAACCGTGGTTTGTGCTCTGCTACCATAGTTAGCCAATGCTTACTGCTACTTCTGGTGTCTGACAGGAAGTTGTACCATAATCATTTATACAATAGAGCTCCCAGGAATTAGGTGGATAGACATTAAGACAACCTTTTGGCATGGTAGTAACTGAGCATCATCCCCAACACATACTCATAATTACTACACATTGTGCATTATCTTAGCTTGGTGTTACTGTTTATGTTAGCAAAATATATCTTGAACCACTGGATGGTCTTTATTAAAATTCTCAGTACTTATTAAGCGTACATCTACAACTTGGAAACTTTTAGAGTTGCCCCTGTTCAAGCTAGCCACCACAGCTAATTGGCATTAGCCAACACAAACAAATCTATAGCTCAGTCAATTTTACATGTATTGAGCTAAATTTGGTGTGGCAAAACACATACTACATACTTTATATCTTGCCACATTATGGTATGAGATTACACATAATGCTATTTTCAAGGTTTGACCAATATGGCTACAAGTTTTTTTCAAACACAAGATGATCTTTGTCTAAAACACTGGCATGAAAGGCAGCAGGCAATTTGCGTTTCTTCCAGGAATGGTAGGCGTTTAATTATGCTATTTATACTTTCAACCACTTATTAATGTTGCAGGTAATTGTCTGAAAAGATTAACATTTTCCTTTTTTTTTTTAAACGAGTACAGAAGTGTACTTAAATACAAATAATAAAGTATTTTTGAATTGAATTGAATTGAAATACACTTAGCCCCATAATGAACATTAGACAGTTTTGGCATCCTACAATTCCTTACATATTTCATGTATGAACCTGGTCACGTTAAAGGGGTCTTGCATTTCTGTCAAACTGCACAGTGCAAATAGTTTCTAAAAAGGTTGAGTCAGGGCCTCTGGATGATTTCAGCGTGCATCAGGACATTACAGAGATTGTATCTACGATACTTTTTTTTGTCATAACCATTGTGTGTTATGTAAAATAGGAGTTTGAAAAGTCTTTTTATCCAAGTCTATGAAGTGACAATCAAATCAAACAACTTAATTGCATCAGATTGTTCAAAATGGGCCAGTTTTGCTGAGTTGGTGTAGCGTTTAAGCCCCACGGGGAAACGTTCTTTGCATGACCGAGTTTGCTGTTGTTCATTCACTTCCCTAACCAGTCTTACCTGTCAGCTCAGGTAACAGGTGACTTGTACCTCATGTATTAATTCTGAGCAGCATTCCACTGCCACGTTGCGCTTTGTTTTTTATGGTGTGACTAAATTGTTTCAGTTGGTAAATGTGAATAAGTCCTGACTAATGCCAGTATTTTTGGACTTCTTGGAATGCAAATAGATTATGAAATATGTTTCCTGTTCTAAATCAGCAAGGTCAAATATTGTTAAAGCGATTGCTTTGGTAAAGTTACATTTTTGGTAGATTCCATTAAAACTGTCACTCGGGTCAGTTCTTGAAATATTTCTCTGTTAATACAGAAACCTCCATCATCTTTACCAGAGTGACTTCCATTAATGCTGGAATGAGAACTTGCCCCATATTAACACATCTAGATAAAGTTTAAAGCAAAACGGAACAATTTCCTGTGTTGTTTACTGTTTCCATCTGGACCTAGGTGTTTGGTTGCTGCTGTCTGATACTCATTACTGACTGGATTACAGATGTTGTCTGTAAACTTATCTCTTTTGTTGTGGACACTCAGACAAAGAGGAGCTAAACTTCCCGTCATGTCTTTGTGCATGTTGCCACAGCATTTCATCATCACAGTGTTGTTAAAAGGAGTCCCATTGTTATTATAATGGTAGGTTTTAAAAGTACTTGTTGCAGTTTTGTGCACTGTTTTCCATTTTTTCTTCCAACAACCAAAACTAATACTGATTGTGTTAGCACTCCTTCAATATTCTTGTGAGTTTTACCTTTTTGTGGACTGCACAGGTCACTTTTATCATGAGAGATCTCAAAGAGGAGAACATTTAGACATTTTCTACTGAGATTTAAACTCTTTTTAAAATTTTTTTTTTTTTTTAATTAAAAACCAGACGGTTGATACCATCAAAGCTCAAATAACCTCATTCTGACAAATACTATCGTCTGACCTCCTGGTAATTGCTTAAGTCAAGGTTTGAGCTATAAATTTTAAACACTACCAGGATCATTTTTTTGTTGTTGTTTGTTTAATGTGCACAGTCTGAGTCCTTGGTATATAAAACAGTGGTAGAAAATATGCTTCATATGTGCACTGATGGCTGTCAGCTGTTTCACGCAGCTTCACTGTATACGTAGCATCAGCATTGTCTAATTAAATTAATTTGATGCGACAAAACACTGCTCATGTTGATGTCTTGTGAATGACATGGCACATTATGTCCTACAGTGACCACAACAGGTCCAAAAACAATCAGAACAAATGTTAAACCAGGGCGAAACTCACAGTGCAGCGTCCTTTAATCCACTCTGCTTAATAAATCTTGGAAAAAATATATTTTGTTGAGCAGCACTTGAGCTGCTTCATTATTCTCCTTGTATAAAATGTTCTCTTAAATCACTGTGATGTAGCTTAATAAACGGACAATTACAAAGAAGTGTGTTGATGTGCAGGAGAAAAGAAAGAGGGAAGACCTGTGCCAAGTAGAGCTCTCCATACTGCATCATCTAATGGACAAACACTATTAGATACAGACTGTGTGCGTGCGCTCATGGGAGAACTGCCAAGATAATCTACCTTGCTGTGTGCAAAGATGTTCACGTGTTTTTTGTCTTCCCCTCCCCGTGTGTGTCTGTTTCTTCCTCTCAGCTGATAACGATGAGTGTAGCAGCAATAGAGCAGCCGGGATGAACGGGAGCGGTCCCACGAAGCTCGTGAACCCTCTGGAGGACCCGCTGCCTGGAGTGGGAACCTATGAAGACTTCAATACCATCGACTGGGTCAGAGAGAAGAGCAAAGACCGAGACAGACACAGAGAGGTACAGAAGACACTGGGTTTTTATTTAATATATTTACTTTAGAATACAACGAAAAGGTTTTAATAGAAGCGTTACCCAATACAAATAAATACTTTCTGTTCTTTGAAAGTGCATGCGCTTCTATTGACGGTGCTACTAAAGAAGTGCAGATTCATCTTCATTGATCCTGGTGATGAAAGTCCATCCTTTACTGCAGCAAAATAATCAAATGTACAAAGTGTCTACAGAGCATAAGATAAATTTACACAACCAGAACTGTTGAGTTATGCTTTCTTTTATTATGTTTATGCCAGGTAAGTATTTGTAATTAAGTCAAATTGGTCTAACTTTATTTAGTGTATTCTTGCAGATCACCAATAAGAGCAGGCAGTCGACTGTAGCTCTGCTGCACAGCATCAGCGATGCCTTCTCTGGGTGGCTGCTCATGCTGCTGGTGGGACTCATGGCAGGTAGAGTACAAACATCCTCTCATCATTATTCAGTGTCTTTCAACTAAAGTTGAGAGTAAAATTTCTCTCCATTGGTGTACAGAGAAAACATTGAGTTACACTCAAGTTTATCAACTTGATGTTTAAAACTTGTGAATGAATCTAGAAATGCTAGGAAATATTTGCTAATAAATACCTGCACGCCTAAAAGTAAATGAAATGAAGTCTAAACTAAATATGTTTACACAATTAGATCCCATATTTATAGTTTATTTTTTACGATCAGTTTTGGATCATTTTTAAACTGCATCAAATCAAACTAAACATTTTTTGGCGTATTTTAAACATGTTCGGCAGATGAAAGCAGTCTTCCATCTACTTAAATTTAACACTGCTCACAACATGTAGTACACCATACAACGGGTTACAAAAGTAAAAAATGTTATTTCTATTTTGTTACCTTACAACCAGGTATTCATAGGACTCTATTTACAAACCGGATTCCAAAAAAGTTGGGACACTAAACAAATTGTGAATAAAAACTGAATGCAATGATGTGGAGATGGCAAAAGTCAATATTTTATTTGTAATATAACATAGATGACAGATCAAAAGTTTAATCTGAGTAAATGTAACATTTTAAAGGAAAAATATGTTGATTCAAAATTTCACAGTGTCAACAAATCCCAAAAAAGTTGGGACAAGTAGCAATAAGTGGCTGGAAAAAGGAAATTGAGCATATAATGAACAGCTGGAAGACCAATTAACACTAATTAGGTCAATTGACAACATGATTGGGTATAAAAAGAGCTTCTCAGAGTGTCAGTGTCTCTCAGAAGCCAAGATGGTAAGAGGATCATCAATTCCACCATTGTTGCACAGAAAGATAGTGCATCAATACCAGAATGGTGTTACCCAGCGTAAAATAGCAAAGACTTTTAAGTTATCATCATCAACCGTGCATAACATCATCAAAAGATTCAGAGAATCTGGAACAATCGCTGTGCGTAAGGGTCAAGGCCGTAAAACTCTACTGGATGCTCGTGATCTCCGGGCCCTTAAACATCACTGCACCTCAAACAGGAATGCCACTGTCAAGGAAATAACAGAATGGGCTCAGGAATACTTCCAGAAAGCATCGTCAGTGAACACAATCCACCGTGCCATCCGCCGTTGCCAGCTGAAACTCTACAGTGCAAAGAGGAAGCCATTTCTAAGCAAGCTCCACAAGCTCAGTCGTTTGCACTGGACCAGGAGTCATTTAAAATGGAGTGTGGCAAAATGGAAGACTGTTCTGTGGTCAGATGAGTCACGATTTGAAGTTCTTTATGGAACACTGGGACGCCATGTCATCCGGACCAGAGAGGACAAGGATAGCCCAAGTTGTTATCAACGCTCCGTTCAGAAGCCTGCATCACTGATGGTATGGGGTTGCATGAGCGCTTGTGGCATGGGCAGCTTGCATGTCTGGAAAGGCACCATTAATGCAGAGAACTATGTTCAGGTTCTAGAACAACATATGCTCCCATCTAGACGTCATCTCTTTCAGGGAAGACCCTGCATTTTTCAACACGATAATGCCAGACCACATTCTGCAGCAATCACAACATCATGGCTACGTAGGAGAAGGATCCAGGTACTGAAATGGCCAGCCTGCAGTCCAGATCTTTCACCTATAGAGAACATTTGGCGCATCATAAAGAGGAAGGTGCGACAAAGAAGGCCCAAGAAGATTGAACAGTTAAAGGCCTGTATTAGACATGAATGGGAGAGCATTCCTATTTCTAAACTTGAGAAACTGGTCTCCTCTGTCCCCAGACGTCTGTTGAGTGTTGTAAGAAGAAGGGGGGATGCCACACAGTGGTAAAAATGGACTTGTCCCAACTTTTTGGGGATTTGTTGACGCCATGAAATTTGGAAACAACAGATTTTTCCCGTAAAATGATACATTCTCTCAGTTTAAACTTTTGATCTGTGATTTTTGTTCTATTCTGAATAAAATATTAGATGTTGGCACCTCCACATCATTGCATTCAGTTTTTATTCACAATTTGTTTAGTGTCCCAACTTTTTTGGAATCCGGTTTGTATAAGTAATGTACTTAAAATGTTCCAGATTAATGGTGAATTGGGAAAATAACTTGTTTAAAGAAATTTTCAAATCTATAAAAGTGAAAAGTTGATTGTGCTTGTAATATATGTTCACCCAGTTTGCTTTGAAGCCCCAACCATTACCTTGAGATGCCACATAATTGGTTTTGTTTAGGAAGTGTCTACACAGCAAGCATGCCAGAAGTGGTTTGTCCACAAAGACCCACAGACCAAGGCTTTAATCAGAGAAGAAAAGAACAGACCAAAAACAACCCTAATGGAGCACCTATGCAGAGAGCACCATCTCTATAGTGAAGCATGGTGGTGGCATCATCATGCCTCAAGAGTTAAGAGAACCTGTTAAAGTTTCAGACTGGGATATAAGTTCTCCTTCCAACAGGACAATGACTATAACTCACTGCTGAAGCAGCACTGCAGTGGTTTAACATTTGGAAGACATTACCAATCAACACGACTTTTTCTGACAGAACCAAAAAATTCTACTTTTTTTATTTTGTCAGAAATCTTTGAAATGCTCCTGTAACATCACGGAAACTTTACTACACTCTCGTGTTCTTTAGGGGAAAAATCAGCCACATTAAAATACACTGTAAATACAAATTTTAATCCCATATTTGTTGTATCATCAAATAATATATTCTTCTCAGTGATGTTTTTCTTTACCTCTGACCTGGGCTCTCGGTTTTCATACTAGCCCACTAGGTGGTGTACCACGTTTATATTTGAGAGCCTCTGTAAAAATCTACAGAGATCAACCCCAAGAAGAAATAGCTATTCTCAGCCAGACGTCTCTGCAGACTCCTGCCTCTCATCTTGTCCAAAAAAATTGTTTTAGTTTGGATGTAAAGAGCTAAAACTCACTTGTAATGTGCACGAGTAAACATGTAGTAGTAAAAAGCTGTTTCACATGCATGCAGGCTGCAGAATGAGATGTTCAGTTCAGTTCAGTTTATTTATATACTGTATGCATGCAACACTTGTCTGTTTTATATTTTCTTGAAATTATTTTCATCATTTTTTTCCACATGTAACTACAAAAATCTGATGTATGTTTAGTAGAATTACCTGTATAGTCAAATTGATTTTTTTTATTTTTTTTATTCCAGTTTATAAGTCAAAGAAACAGAAAACCAAGGGTTGAACAATTTGCAGCTACGGTATGAGGCTCTCTGTAGTCTCCGTAGATAACCCCGACTCATTTATTAAAAGAGGTCCTGGACCTGTTTGGATTCTGCCTGGGTCATTGGTGCCTGCAGCAGCTGAAAGTTAAATCCCATGTGGGGACGAACAGCAGGTGCAGAACAAGCAGAAGGGAATATTTTTAAACTAAATGTTGATTCATTACATAAACCAGAACCATGGAAGGTAGTTTTAAGTTTTGAAAGAGTTTACTCCTGTAGTTTTCCAGATAGGTTGATATACAGCTCTGAATTGTGGGTCGTCACAATCAAGAAGACTCTGCAGAAAGCCTCATGAAAGGTTGAGTGATTGACCGACAATGGTCTGGTGGTAGTCTGTAATTGAACAAATATGGTGGAAACAGGCAGGTGTAGAATTTTGTAAATTCTGTTGGAAATATGAATAAATTGAAGTTTATGGAAGAGCAGCATTACAGACTTCAATATTAGAAATAGTGTAGATTAGTTTCTTCCTCAGTTAATGCTTTTTGACTGGTATCCATGACATTCATTGCAAGAGTACTTTCAACAAATCAAAACAATAAACCGTTTCTGTGTCGCCTTACCTCGTCATCTTCATCCTGAGCTCTTCCTCCTCTCCTCCAGGTGCTCTCGCCGGTGGCATCGACATTGCAGCCCACTGGATGACGGACCTGAAAGAAGGGATTTGTCTCATCGGGTTCTGGTTCAACCACGAGCACTGCTGCTGGACGTCCAACGAGACGACGTTCCAGGAGAGGGACCGGTGCCCTCAGTGGCAGAGCTGGGCCGAACTCATTACAGGAACCTCCGAGGTAAAACGGACTGAATTTAAAGGGAGGGTTGAAGGAAGTTCTTTCAGTTCTGCTCAGACTGGAACATTTTTAAACTTCTGCATCCTAAATGTGTGAAGAAATGCAAAGTAAATGTAAATCCTGAACTTGTAAAAAAATATATTTTGAAAGTAGAAAAATTGTGAACAAATGCTTCCTAACAGTAGATGTAGTGAAACTTGGGCTCCCTCTACTGACTGAAAAGTTTCATTAAGAAAAAATGACACCATTACTTGAGGGTTTTCTTCGGGTACTCTGGTTTCCCCCCACAGACCAAAAACATGTATGTTATGCTAATTGGTAACTTGTCCCTAGGTGTGATGGCGTGAATTTCTGTTTACATTTAAATATAGAATTATTGTTTTATTTAATATGGGCACTGAGAAATTACATCTTTTCTGTTCTCTTCTTACTTCCCTGCAGGGAGCGTTTGCTTACATAGTGAACTACCTGATGTACATAGTTTGGGCGTTGCTCTTCTCGTTCTTGGCCGTGGCTCTAGTCAGGGCCTTCGCTCCATATGCATGTGGATCAGGAATACCAGAGGTAAGAGTTCACGCAGAGTTTTGGAAAAGGCACACAAGATATTCTAATCACAAAGTAAACTCGTGGTGTTTGTTTCTTTTTACTGATTCTGAATTTATTTTTAAAGCGGTGAAATAGTTCTGGATAATAAGCCACTACTTTAAACATCAAAAAGCGGTGCAGGTTTTATTGTTGGCTGTGTTTTTCTTTTAGCAAAATATCTTGTGAACACCTGGACGGATTCATTGAAACTTTCAAAAGTAATCATTAGATGTACATCCACAACTGATCAACCCACTTAAAGATGGCTGCCACTTCTAGTCAACATTAGTCAACACAAAATGGCTATAGCTCAGTCAGCTTTACAGATATCGAGTTGAAATTTAGCGTGGTAGCAGCTGAGAGTCATCCCTAACACACACTTCGAGCACTACATGGATTAAAGGTCCTCGTCGCCATGATGGATTTCCATCGTCTGTAAAAATGGAGGGAAAAAAGTGTTTTTGTGGTCTTTTGAAAGCCATCCAATCTAACGGGGATTAAACTGATGCTTTCAACCAATAAACAGAACCAGAGCCACAGTTTGATCCAATCAGAGCAGAGCAGGGCGGGGCCTGTTGTCTCGTTCACGGTGAGCCCAGAGCCGTGTTCCCAACTTACCGACTGCAGGTGAGAGCACTGATCAGCGTCTCCTGTACTGTTGTACAAGGAGGACACCCGCCACCCTAACAGAAGGCGATGACATAACAAATTGTTAAAAGTCTACGTATTAAACGTGTGTTTGCACGTGACCAATTCACTGCAGCCCGGGGAGATACCAGAACACACGGCGCTCCAACCTCCCGGGACTTTTGCATCTAAAATCTAACTTTGTATTAAACGTTAATGTGTTCGAAATTTCCGCTGTCAGATAAATTGAAGTTTTTCATGGTAATTTTTGCTACTTTCAGCCTAATTAACTTCTATATGGTAATTTCAGCTTGTTATGCTTCTTTCAGCTTTTTTTCTGCTAGTTTCAGCTTTTTCAGCTAATTCAGCTACGGTTTAGCTGTTGTATGCTAATTTTAGCTTTTTCAGCCAATCCCCCCCCCCTCCTTTTTTTTTATAGCTCATTTCAGCTTCTTCCATTCCCTTTTGGTAGTTTAAGCTTCTTTCTGCCTTTTCAGCTACTTTTCAGCCTTTTTTTAATTTGCTAATTTCAGTTTCTTTAGCTATTTTCCCAATTTTTGTGCTAATTTCTGCTAATTTATAACTAATTCAGCAAAAAATATGTTCTTTCTGCTTTCTTCTGCTGATTAAGGTTTTTTTTTTCATTTCAGCTACAATTCAGAATGTTTTTAGCTAATTTCAGCTGTTTTCAGCAAGTTCTTCAGGAATAAGCATTCACTGCATTTTTGCAGGAAATGCAGTTTCTCTAGTTTGATTTTGTTTTACTGGTTAAAGTAAAAACTTCAAAATCAACATGTTAGTCTGAAACCCAGCTGTTTGAAGTAACATTTATTTATTTTCATCTTTATTTATTATTTATAATAGAGACCACAGGTATCGTATTGATTTATTCTTCACTTCCTGTCCTTGTCCTCCGTTTCTGTCCAGTTCTTTTCTCCTTCAACATCCATTCACATTTATTTATTCAGTTTCCACTCTTTGTCAGTGTTTATGTTTTTGTTAGATCTGTTTCTCTCAGTCTACATTCCTGGGGAAGTGAAAAGCTTGAGATTTGCTTACGCTGCAGTTTGCCGCACAAACAAAGCTCGTATCTGCGTACACAAACATCATCCTCTCGTAGCTTTGTAGTTTCATGAACCTCGGATAATTTTCTCCCGACGTTTCTTCCCTCAGAGGTCAGCCACACATCAGCAGGCCCACGCACAACAGATTATCAACTTAGATGAAAGAAAACAAACCTGAAACAGATTTTATATTTCTATTGACTGCAAGAGAGGGAGAATAAATAAATAAATACAGCTAAAGTCTAAACATATTCTCATTATTTTTGTTTCTGTGGAAAACTAATGATTCATAGACCACAAACCTCAGTCTCTTTCCTTTTTTGTATGATTTTCAGATTAAAACAATCCTGAGTGGATTTATCATCCGTGGCTACCTGGGGAAGTGGACCCTGATCATTAAGACCATCACCCTGGTTTTAGCCGTCTCCTCGGGGCTCAGTTTAGGGAAGGAGGGCCCTCTGGTCCACGTCGCATGTTGCTGTGCTAATATCCTCTGTCATCTGTTCACCAAATACCGCAAGAACGAGGCCAAGAGGCGAGAGGTACGTTTAAAAACAGCAGGTGTTAGATGAGACTGCTTTCTTTTTTTACATTATGATTTTATTTTGGGGAATCGCCCACACCAGACATCAGAACTAGCTTGCAGCTGTTCTACTAGAACATCTACAGCTATTTCTTGTTTACTCTTTTTATTTTTTACATTTATTCAACATAAAAACCTCAATTTGAACTTTTTGCTCTTTACTAGAGATGTACTGATTTCTCACCAGATGTCCTGAATGAGTCCATTTTCAGCTTAATTTGCAACAAGAACTCAAAATCAAAGGATCTGCTGTTGCTAGTGGAATTAGCTGTTTAATGTGAAAGTTTAGTTTTAGTGTTTTTTAATTTATTTAGGGATTCAAACAAAATCAGGATTGACACATCACACTACAGCGCTCAGGTTTTGAAATGGACCTGGACGGTTACAATTATTCCTTTAACACAGTAACCTGTTTGTGATTTGAAGGTATTATCAGCGGCGGCAGCTGTCGGCGTGTCGGTGGCTTTCGGCGCTCCGATCGGAGGAGTCCTCTTCAGTCTGGAGGAGGTGAGTGATATTACTCAATTATTGAGAAATTATTAATCAATATTTAACATAAGATAGATAGATATAACTTTATTGATCCCACAAGATCTTATAAGCTTTAACCTGCATCAGTTTTGCTAGTAACTGGATCTCATTTTTACCATCTAAATGTTGACTTTGGGTACTTTCAGTTGACTAACTGTAGTTTATTTACTTGAAACCAGCTCATGAAGATCTCAAAATAATCCTGATCGGCCATCGGCTATTGGAATCACGACGACTGTTTGGTAGTTTAATTACAGACGGACTGAAATTGTTCTTTGATTGTTTTCAGCCCTTTTGTGAATTTTTTTTAAGAACGTCACGGTACTGGAATGAGCACAGTGCTGGCAGCTAATTGAGATATAGTACACTGTGAAAAGATGTTTGCTATGATTAGTTCAGAAAGTCAAATGTGTTTTGGCAGCTCTGTGTTGAGCAACAAGAGCTGCAAAAGGAGAGATGAGCCAAGATTTAACTGTTGATTTAGCACTGAGGGATTTATTTTTTATTTTACTTCTCTTTTTTTTTTTATCCCTGCTGGAACATTAAATTTAGAACTATTCAAATAAATAATTTTATTCATTTTAGATGCAGTATAGAAATGAGGACAGAAAGCAGTAGACTTAAGCCCCCAGTATACTCCCGTGTATGTCAGTCTGCAGATGTCTGCGTGTACCAGATGGAGTCGAAGCAGACGCCCGTAGGGCGTGTCTGTGCAAAGCTCAATTTTTATGTACGCGTACTCTGTGTCGCACAATAAACTGCCCGGCGACGGACTGTTTTGTGTGCGACACCAATTTATTAAATTCCCCTTCTTCATCCCTGATCTGGCATTTTCTTTTGTTTGTTTTTTTTGCCAAAAGACAACTGATCTCTTCCTCCTCCGTTGATGCCATGACTGAAATGGTGAGAAATGAAGGAATTTGTCACAAGCGAATTAAAATCAGGTCCAGCGTGGCTGCAGGAGGGTCTGGAGATTTCCTGGTGGGCCGCTTTGATGTGTGGGCTGCAGGGCCAGCGCTTTTTTTAAATTTTTTTTAAAGAGAGTTTTATTAACAACATATAAACACAGAACACCGCTGCGGCTGGAGATGCCAGCTCTCGGTTTTATTATATATTTTTTTGACCTGTCAATCAGTCCAGTAGGCGTGTCAGCAAATGACCAATCGGTGACCTCAATTTGTCCCGAAGGTAAACGTCCCTTGTCTGCGGAGCTGCTCTGCAGCCACTCAGGATGGACACTCGAGCATGAAGTCTCAACGCTCTGCGGACAGTGCGCACAGTGTACTGGAGCCTTTATTAATTAACTAGATTGTTTAACGCAGTTCTAGTGAGAAGAATCCAAATGTAGTAGTGCTAATTTTCAAGAACAATAGGGATGTAAAGCTGTAGTTATCACAGAGGGATAAAGTTGATGAGCCATACCATAATTGTATGGAAAATATAACAGGGATCATATCAGAGCTGCTTGCAATGATGGCCAGGTTGAGAGAGTGGTAAACCTCCATGCGCTATGATGTTTGCAGATGACACCATGATCTGTAGTGAGAGCAAGGAGCAGGTTCAAGTTCAAGAATCTTTATTATCCACAAGGGACAATTAGTTTCACAGTCAGTAGGCACATAAAACATCCATACTAGACAAGGCATTAAAATAACGGTACAGAAATCATCACTGTTCGTTGAAAAGCCTGATCGTTACAGGAATGAATGAGTTTTTCAGTCTATTCGTTCTACATCTGGGCAGTAGATACCTGCATCTAGGTGGAAGCAACCGTGGGTGATCAGGATCTGCCAGAATCAGCCTGGCCTTGTTCACTGACCTCGCCTTGTGTAGGTGGAAGAGAGCCTGGGAAGTTGTAGGCGTGCTCTGCAGAGGAGGAGACTGAAAATCAGTAGAAGTGAGACAAAATACGTGAAGTGTGAATGAGAGAGAGACTCTTGGAACAGAGAAGCTACAAGTAGTCGAGCTCTGGATGAGTTTAGGTACCTGGGGTTAACCATCCATAGCAACGAGCACGAGAGGTGAAGAAGAGAGTGCAGCAGAGTGGAGTGGCTGGAGATGAGTGTGAGGGGTGATTTGTCTGAGGAGGAGCTGCAAGAATGAAAAGGAAGGTTTAAAAGATAGAGGGATGACGCAAGAAAGATGAGAGAATAATTATTTTACTATTAAAATATATATATTTTTAATGTAATATTTTCTGTCCATTATTGGCTTTGTATTTTCCAAATACTCTTTGTTTCTTCATGATAGTACTCTGTACCCCTCTCCCCTCCAGGTGAGTTATTACTTTCCCCTGAAGACGCTGTGGCGTTCCTTCTTCGCTGCCCTGGTGGCCGCCTTCACTCTGCGCTCCATCAACCCATTTGGAAACAGCCGCCTGGTGCTGTTCTACGTGGAGTTCCACGCTCCGTGGCACCTAGTAGAGCTGGCTCCTTTCATCCTGCTGGGGATCTTCGGCGGCGTGTGGGGGGCTCTATTTATCAGGGCCAACATCGCCTGGTGCAGGAGACGTGAGCATTAATCTACAAACTCTTGTAACCTTTAGGTTGTTTTTCTGTTTGTATATGTGCGTTTTAATCTGTTTTCATCTAAACCCGGCAGGCAAAACCACCCGCCTCGGGCACTACCCCGTCATCGAGGTGCTGGTGGTTACCGCCCTGACCGCTCTGCTGGCCTACCCGAACAGTTACACCAGGATGAGCGGAGCAGAGCTCATTTCTGAGCTGTTCAACGACTGCTCGCTGCTGGACTCCTCTCAGCTCTGTGGCTACAAACAGGTCAGAATACTGTAAACAAAATTAGTTCAAGGAAGGAATGCATATCGCCCGCCACCTATCGTATTTTTCAGACTATAAGGCACATTTAAAATCCTTTAATCTTCTCAAAAATCCACCGTGAGCCTTATAATCTGGTGCACCTTATGTGTTAAATCTTGTTGTGTTCACTGACCTTGAAACAATTTTATGTATTCCAACAATTTTCAGTCAGGTCATCTGGACACTTTCTTTTTTTTTTGTGCTGAAAAATTTCACCTTCCATTAGGGCTGGACGATATGGGCAAAACTTTTATCACGATATATCTCTTAATTTAGGTCATAACGATATAATTCGATATCGATATAAACAATATAAAAGCCTCAGAAAAACTACAAACTATACAAATAAATTAATGTTCACCTTTCATTTGTATTTAGCCTTCAAAAAAATTGAAATCACTGTCAAATAAACATAAAATCCTCAACTTTGTCAATATTAATAGTTTTAACTTTAAACAACAACTTTAAAATTGACAGCATTGAAGTTCGTTGTTAATGAAATAAACTTTTTGGGTGTCGTTATTGATGAGAAGCTGACGTGGAAATCTCATGTAAAATACTTAAAAATAAAAAAACAATCAGTTGCATTACTGTATAAAGTAAAAGAGTTTTTGAATGACAAAGCTTTGTATGTATTGTATAATGTGATGATTGTTCCATATGAAATAGAACAATTACAAATCCTATTTTTATTTTTACAAAAAAGAGCTATAAGAATTATTAGTAGTATGAAGTGCTATGGTCACCCAACAAATATATTATTTCATCAATTGAAATTATTAAAATGTTATGATTTGGTTGAATATAGTATTTTACAAGTCATGTATAAAGCTCATAAAAATATTAGCCCCAAATATTCTATTAAAATTTGTAAAAAATAAATATAAAAAGGAGAGTCAATATAACCTTAATGGAATGGAGACGTTTGTAAAACCTCCATTTAGAACTAGTGTGAAGGAGCTGCGTTGTAGTTCAGGGAACAGGATTATGGAATTGTCTTGATATCACCATAAACATTTATAAAACAATTTATATGTTTAAAAAGATGATAAAGTTGTTGGGAAGGTTTAGTACCAGGTGAAGGATACCTGAAGTTTTTTTGTTTTCAGTTTGGAGATTGTTCAAGTCAAGGTTGTTGTTTGTTTGTAGTTATTTTGTATTTTTTAAATTAGGGGCAGATAAGAATTTTTTTCCTTCTTCAACCTTTTCATTCAATGTTTTTTTTTTCTTTCTGGTGAATTTGTTTTATTTTAAACGAATGAATAAATTATAAAAACAAACAAACAAAACTTGCAGCGCTGGGGGTGTTTCAGGGACACGTTGGCTCAAATTTTATTGTGCTTCATCTTGTGACTCATCATTTTCTGTCCAGTGGAACAAGTTAGATGTTCCAACCGCTAGTTAGAACGACTCTCCGTCACATTTTGCAGCACACTGACTGAAACCTGCAGTTTATCAGATCTTAGAAAGCCGAACCACTTCCAAACCAGCAAATTAGTCTTTTCTCTCTTATCAGTGATGTCATCTGCTTCTCTTCACTTGTGAAAGATTGTTCAGTCACATTCTGACAATCATGGCACTCATTTTGAAGAGAAAACTTAACGCGCGTTGGAGATTAGCCTAGCTTAGCCTGCTACCACTAACGTCTTCTGGACTTAAGCTCTGCATAACATTACGTCACCATGCACTTACGTCGTTGTGTCACACCTTTTTCTGTCCGGGTTGAAACTGAAGTTGCCGCTTCAACCCGAACAGAAAACGCTGTAATCCTATCGAAATATCGAAAATGTGCTTAAAATTCATATCAAAGTTATTGAATAAAAGTATATCGCGAGCTATATCGATATCGAATTATTGTCCAGCTCTACCTTCCATCCAGAAGGCTTCATCAGTCAAGGAAACACACAACACAAAACTGATTCTTTCCCCAACAGCTTACTCCAAAAGTAGAACAAACCAGTTACGTTGGTGCTAAGATGGTGTCTTTGGCACGCCCCCTCCTCCGGTGCCGGCCCTCTTCCTCGTCGACAGTCATGTCAGACTGTTTCAAAACCAACAAAACATGAGCATGGACTTTGTTGGTTTTGAACCAGTTTGACATGACTGTCGACAGTTTGTTTTTTTGGCGACAGTGTTGAAGTTTGACTTATCTGACTGTTTTGTTTCACTTAATGCACTTTATAATCCAGTGCGGCTTATAGTCCGAAAAATACAGTAATACCAAAAATTAAACTAGGATCATATTATGCTGAGAAATGGCCGAGTTACAGCTGTTTTGCTCAAACCTTGAAAGTTACGTTATGTTTAGTCTCGTGTAAAATCACAAGATGTCACACTCAGTTGTGTTTTTAATGACTCTTGGCTGCTACCACATTACATTTTAGCTTGATATTAGTAAAACTAACTACTTTGTACTTCTGAAGCCGTTAAGCTGTGAAGGTTCTTGAACTGGTTTGAAGCGTCAATCAGTTAAAGATGTACAATGGTGCTTGAAAGTTTGTGAACCTTTTATAAGTTTCTATATTTCTGCATAAATATGACTTAAAACATCATCAGATTTTCACACAAGTTCTAAAAGTAGATAAAGAGAACCCAGTCAAACAAACGAGACAAAAATATTGTACTTGGTCATTTATTTGTTGAGGAAAATAAAAATGATGACTTGTGAAAATCTGATGTTTTAGGTCATATTTATGCTTAAATATAGAAAAGTCTAAAGGGTTCACAAATTTTCAAGCACTACTGTACATCCAATAATAACTTTCTGAAAGTTTCAATATCTGTTGAGTTATTCATTAAATATTTCTAATGGAAAAATTGACTCCAAAAGTGATGGCTAAAGTTTTAAGCGATGATGATGCACAAAGAGTAGCACTTTGGAGTATGTGTTGCAAATAAATTCAGACGCAACCTCAATCGATTTTACCAATGTTGAGCTAAAATTGAGTTCTACATATCTGTTTTTCTGTTTTAAAGGCTCCTGGCTGTGGCAGTCATCTTGTATTAGAATGGCTTCAACACTTAATCAGTTGTAGATGTATATCCATATATTCCTATAAGCTTTAATAACAATCACCCAGTGGTTCATGAGACGTTTTGCTAACAGACCGATGCCTTGGACGTGGGTAAAAACATTTTTGTCTTTGGGCAGCAGCTGATTATAAACGTGATGTTTTGGCTTTATTCATATTTATTATGCAAAACGCCTGTAATATTTTTGCTGCATCTGTTTCTTCTTCCTGTTTCATTAGTGCTGTACATGTTTAATAATCCTTCTGCTCCTCCACTGCTGCAGCCAGTCAACGCGTCCGAAACAGGTGTAGGAAACAGCCTGGCCGACCGGCCGGCTGGAGAAGGTCTGTACACGGCTCTGTGGCAGCTGGCTCTGGCTCTGATCTTCAAGGTGCTGGTCACTGTGATTACCTTTGGCATGAAGGTTAGTTAAGAGCACACACTCTGATTGTTACACACTCTGTTCTATTTAAGCTTGAGTTCACAGAAAAGCAGCAACTCTTTAACTAAAACTATCCCACAGGGCCTCATATGGCAGCTTTTTATTTTTTATTTTTAATGTAGACACACACGGGTGTATTATTGTGTGTAAAAGCACAACACAGACAGCTGTCTTTAATGAGCCTAAATCCACATTTGAACAAACATCCTGCCTGTGTTGATCTTAAACAGCCGTTCAAATGAGGTGACTGAAACGCTAAATCTTTTTTTGTTAGCTGCTGTAACTCAGCAAAACGAGTCACCATCATTGGGCTCACAAGAAGAACCAGTTTTAGGTTTAAAATAAATACTTACCGTAATTTCTGGACTATAAGCTGCTACTTTTTTTTGCAGGCTTTGAACTCCGTGGCTTATACAATGCTGCGGCTGATTTTATGTTTTTGTTTGTTTTTGACAGACTAACAAGCTTCATGCTGCCAAAATATTTAGCCTCGTCACACCCGGGCTCTCACATAGCTGCCCAGTGCACATCTCTCTTGAGGGAGCGGGTCCTTGCGACTCAATGAAACTACCTGGATAAACAAAGGTTAAAAAAAAAAATCAGACAACAAATGAAATTACCGAACAGTTCACAGTGGACCAATGAAACTTTGAATTACCGTAAATGAAATGAACTCGCACTAAATTCTTCAGATCAGTTATTTTGCGCTTCGTGTACAGACCCTCATCATAGAAAACACACGAAGAAATGCACACGATGCAGCTTTCAAGTTAAAGGTGATAGATCTGGCTGTCGAAGAAGGAAATGAATGTCCTAGCTGTATGTCAGCTTGGTGTCATTGAATCGATGGTGAGACGTTGGAGACGGCAGCATGAAGAACTGACTCAATGCAAAAAGACGACAAAAACTTTCAGAGGTAAAAAAAAAAGAGCAGATGGCCCAACTTGAAAACGTTCTTGAAGACTTGGTGAACACACAGAGAGAAGACGGTCCAGGTGCTTCCACCATGCAGATCTGACTGAAAGCCAAAACACTCACCACTGAAAACAAAATTGAAGACTTTAGATTTATTTTTAATTTTTAAACCGAGATCAAAACAAAAACAATTTTAAACAATGATCAGTAATTTTTCCTGGTAGGCTACAGTATTTTATTTTTTTTTAACCATCCATGTTACAAGCACTGTTCAGGAAAAAAAAACATTTACTGTACGTATTTGTGTATGTAACCCGTACGTATTTAATTAAAAGTTTTTTTTTTATTTCTGTTTAAATATCTCATGTTACAAAGTGGATACCCACGGTTTATAGATGAGCACGGCCTATATGTGTACTTTTTTTTTTTGTGTGTGGGTGTGGCTTATATTCAGGTGTGCTCAGTAGTCCAGGAATTGCGGTACCAGGCACAGCTTTCAGAACTGTAAGAGTTACATGACTGAACTGGTCCTTTGATATCTTAGTTGGGTTTTTTCAGAGGTACGATTTAAGTTGAACTGTCTACATTTTTCAATAGTTTTAGAATCAAGCTTGTTTTATGCCCACAAGTCTTCCTGATAAATATAAAATGTACATCCAAACAGACGTTTTTAGATGTTGAACAAATCGTCTCCTCTCTTCAGGTTCCCTCGGGTCTCTTCATCCCCAGCATGGCGGTGGGAGCGATAGCCGGCAGGCTGCTGGGTGTGGGCATGGAGCAGCTGGCTTACTACAACCACAACTGGCTCATCTTCAGGGGGTGGTGCACCCCTGGAGCAGACTGCATCACTCCGGGGCTTTACGCCATGGTTGGAGCTGCTGCTTGTTTAGGTGAGGCAGTCCTTTCAACAAACATTTGCCGTTTGATTTGTCTGAAACGTATACATTTGTTTGTTTCATCGTGAATTTAAAAATGATGGTCACTGTAGCAAACTTTTAGGAGATCTGGGACAAAGCTTGCTGTTATGTTGGCTTGTTTCTGGCACACGAGACGGAGCAGGCAGCTTTTCGGACTTTCGGTTGGGATGTTTTGCTCGTGTGTCTGTGTGGTGGTATTCTGAGGACGTAGATCTTCAACATGCCAGAGAGAATTAACATTACATGTTAGGTCCATCTTAGAAACATCTCAGCTTTACAGAAACGGAGAACATCTGGTCTTCTCAGTTTGTTTACCAGATTCACGTAAGAGTTGCCATAATTATTGACAGAGTCAAACTTGGTGTTTTTTTTGTTGTTTTTTCACTAGCCACTTAACTTTCAACTAAAAATATGAAATTTGGTAGGTTTGTACTCAAGTGTTCCTTTAGATGGCTGTAAAAAAAATCTAATTTTGTTCAAACTGAGGTGATTTTACGCACTTTTAAAAACTGAAGTAACAGAAGTCACAGGTTGGCCATAAACAGATTTTAAAGGGATCTCCGACTACTTGCACACATTAGCTTTAACATGTTAACTCTATTTTACTAAAAGTTGATTTTGTGACGAATGAAAACTCCTAATTACTTAAGCAATCATATTACATTTTTCTCCTAAGGATGTGACCATTATTTTACAGACGCAATGCGTTCTGGGATGATGACATACATCGGATGTAGTGAAGACTAAAACAAGGAGTCAAGTTATAACATGATAATAAAGTTATTTTTGTATTAAGCTTTGTGCACAATATTGAAGTTGCAACAATCAAATGTGATCAACTTGTGATGTTTAATATATTGAGCTAATGCTGTAAACTCTGGAGCTAATACTTTTAGCTCTGGAGCTAACGTCATATATATTAGCTCTGTAACTAACGTCATATATATTAGCGCTGTAGCTAACGTCATATATATTGGCTCTGTAGCTAACGTCGTATATATTAGCTCTGTAGCTAACGTCATATATATTGGCTCTGTAGCTAACGTCATATATATTAGCTCTGGAGCTAACGCTATAAGCTCTGGAGCTAACGCTACAAGTTCCTGAGCTAACACCATATTAGCTCTGGAGCTAATGCTATTAGATCTGGAGCTTACACCATATATGTTAGCTCTGGAGCTAACGCCAAATATATTAGCTCTGGAACTAACACCATATATATTAGGTCTGTAGCTAATGTCATATATATTATCTCTGGAGCTAATGCTATAAACTCTGGAGCTAATACTTTTAGCTCTGGAGCTAACGTCATATATATTAGCTCTGTAGCTAACGTCATATATATTAGCTCTGTAGCTAACGTCGTATATATTAGCTCTGTAGCTAACGTCGTATATATTAGCTCTGGAGCTAATGCTATAAGCTCTGGAGCTAACGCTATAAGCTCTGGAGCTAACGCTATAAGTTCCTGAGCTAACACCATATTAGCTCTGGAACTAATGCATATATGTTAGCTCTGGAGCTAACGCCAAATATATTAGCTCTGGAGCTAACACCATATATGTTAGCTCTGGAGCTAACGCCAAATACATTAGCTCTGGAACTAACGCCAAATATATTAGCTCTGGAGCTAACGCCAAATATATTAGCTCTGGAGCTAATACCATATATATATTAACTCTGGAGCTAACACCATATATATATTAACTCTGGAGCTAACACCATATATAAACTCTGGAGCTAACACCATATATATATTAACTCTGGAGCTAACACAAAATATATTAGCTCTGGGGGGTGGGTTCAAGATGGCGCCCGAGCTGGTGGCTTGCCGTTCACCTCTCTCCACTCTGTTTGTTTTTTTGCTATTTTTATCATTCTTCCTCAATAACATCAACTCACTGCTGGTGTATGATCGTGAGCAACTTCTAAATCTACAATTTTCCACAAAACATCTCGCCTCGTACGATCATTTCTACCGAGGTTCTGGGCCCCCACCTCCACTGCTCGGGAGCGTCCCTGCTTACCTTCGCCGTGATGTTTTCCTGCCTGCACGGAAACATCGCTCCCGCCGCCGCGGGAGACGTGCTGGCCGCCTCGTGAGGCTCAAAACGAGCCTCGCTCGCTCCTCAGCAACAGCTGACCACCGGACTGAGGATCCTCCACCTGGATGTCTCGCGGAGTCCTGCCCGCTGAAGAACGTGGGGTCGGAGGTGCGCAGCGGGCGCGCGCTCAGCTGCAAAGTTTCCGACAGTCTCCAGCTGATCGAGGTCTGCCTGGGTTCTTCATCTGCACCATCTCCTGCCACCCGATCGGTCTGTCCCAACGACCCTGCTGTGTCCGGCGGCTCTCGGACTCCGGCTGTTTGTCCCGGACCGCGCAGCGGGCGCGCGCCCAGCTGCGGTGGGTCCGAAAGTCTCCAGCTGATCGGGGCCTGCCCTGGTCCATCGGCTGCACCATCTACTGCTGTCCCCTCGGAGTGTACCAACGACCCTGCTGTGTCCGGCGGCTCTCGGATTCAGGCTCTTCATTCTGGACTTCGCGGCGGACGTGCGCGAAGCTGCGCTTCCTCTGACCGGAGGAGGCGAAGGCCCGACGTAAACAACCTGAGACCGCTGATCAGCGTCCTCCCCTCAACTTTTCCCCCAGCTGCTGGCCTAACGAGGTTTGCTCTCCTCAATGTGAGATCTTTATCAACCAAAACTTTTATAATGAATGACTTCTTCTGCTCCAATAACCTGGACTTCTTGTTTCTGACGGAGACCTGGCTTCCTCCTGGTGAGTCAAGCGTTTTTACTGAACTTGTGCCTGCAGACTGTACTTTTCTTAACTGCCCAAGGCCATCTGGAAGAGGTGGAGGAGTTTTAGCTCTTTTTAAGAAAATTTGGAAATGCAGACTGCTTCTGACAGCAGCTTTTGAGACCTTTGAGCTGCTGCATTTTGAACTGGGCCGCTCCAACCCCATCCTGGTTGCTGCTCTTTACAGACCCCCCAAATCATCAACAGGCTTCATCAATGAACTGTCTGACTTTCTCACTGGAATACTGTTAAAATACGACCGTGTGCTGATTCTAGGGGACTTCAATATACACGTATGTTGCCCTGAGAAGCCTTTGGTGCAGGACTTTCTAAATCTGATCCACTCTCTAAACCTGGTGCAAAATGTTGTTGGCCCCACGCATCAGCAGGGGCACACTCTCGATATTGTTTTGTCTTATGGTGTATCTGTGTTAAATCTGGAAATTGGGGATGCTATCATATCCGATCACAAACCCATCTCATTTGAAATCTCTCTTGCTCGTGAGTCTAAATCCCCCACTCCACCTAGGACCTGTCGTGTATTTAACCCTTCAACCTCTGCTCGTTTTTCCTCTGCTTTTATCACCACTGCTGTTTCAACTCCTGATACCTCTGCCTGTGTCAGTACTCATGAGCTGCTTAGTCACCACAATGAGACCTGCACCAAGATCTTGGATCTGGTGGCCCCACTGAAAGTCAGGAAAGCAAGGAGAACCCAGTACCCGTGGATAAACGAGACCACCAGGGCAGCGAGACGACTGTGCAGGAGAGCAGAGCGCAAATGGAAAAAGGACCAACTCCAGGTTTCTTTCATTTTGCTAAAAACCTGTTTAAAAAATTACCAAAACACCGTCAAATCAGAAAAAAACAAATACTTCTCCCAACTGATCAGTGAAAATAAAAACAACCCCCGCACCCTTTTCACAGCAGTAAATTCCATTCTTAATGGCCCTTTGTCTGAATGCATGGACGCCTCTGTGGACGTCTGTAACGACTTCACAAGATTCTTTGTTGGTAAGGTAGAGCTGATCAGATCTTCCATCCCCCGCTCCTCAGTTGACCCATCGGTTTTTGTCCCATGTTCAGCCACTTTCAGGAATTTCAATCCAATCACACTCCCATTGTTAAACAAAGTTGTTGGTCACATGAAACCCTCAGGCTCCCCTGCTGATCCAATCTCTCCCTCACTGTTCAAACAGGTTCTACCAGCGATTGGGCCCGCTGTTCTTAATATTCTTAACAGTAGCTTTGCTACAAGCGTGGTTCCACAGGCCTTTAAAAATGCAGTAGTCACTCCTTTAATCAAGAAACCTGGACTTGACCCCTCAGTGCACTCAAATTACAGACCAATCTCAAAGCTTCCCTTCCTGTCCAAAATCCTAGAAAAAATAGTTTTTACTCAGTTGAATCAATTTTTAACTGAGAACAAAATCTTTGAGTTCTTTCAGTCTGGTTTTAAGCAACTCCACAGCACAGAAACAGCTTTGGTTAGGGTTTGCAATGACATTTTAACTTCAAACGATTCTGGTCACTATGTGGTACTTGTACTCCTTGATCTTACTGCTGCTTTTGACACCGTCGACCACAGTATCCTCATCTCACGGCTCGAACACTGGGTTGGGATTACAGGAGCTGCTTTAGACTGGTTCCGTTCTTACCTCTCTGACAGGACTTTTTGTGTCAAGGTTGGTGAAAGTCTGTCCACTTCGGTCCCTCTTTCCTGCGGGGTCCCACAGGGCTCGATCCTTGGACCCCTTCTTTTCTCGCTCTATCTGCTCCCACTGGGATCCATCTTAAGAAAACATGCCATCTCATTCCATTGCTATGCCGATGACTGCCAGATCTACCTGCCACTGAAACCAGCCAGTGCTCGTTCCATCCACCCTCTCCTCAAATGTCTAGATGACATTAAGGCATGGATGACTTCAAATTTTCTCAGTTTTAACGACCAGAAAACTGAAGTCATCGTCTTTAGTCCTAGCTCAGCTGCCTCCTCAGATCCTGCCAACCTGGACTCACTTCAGCCCTATCTCAAGCACACTGTTAGAAATCTCGGGGTGGTTTTTGACTCAGATTTTAAGTTTGACAAACAGATCAGTTCAGTTCTGCAGAAAAGTTTTTTCCAACTGCGGCAGGTAGCTAAGCTCAAGCCAGTGTTATCCAGACCCAACCTTGAAACATTAGTCCATGCCTTCATCACAACCCGCCTGGACTATTGTAACTCACTTTATGCTGGGGTCAGTCAGGCGTCCATTTCACGTCTCCAGCTCGTCCAAAATGCAGCTGCTCGGCTTTTAACTGGTACACGTAGGTCTGAGCACATCACACCTGTTCTGTCCTCCCTTCACTGGCTTCCTGTGCGATCCAGAATCGACTTCAAGATTCTCCTCCTGACATATAAGTGCCTAAATGGCCTCGCACCCCTCTACCTCTCCGAGCTCCTGGAACCATATGTTCCGTCTCGGGCCCTGAGATCATCGGACCAGCTTCTTTTGGTCGTTCCAAAATCACGCCTGAAGCTCCGAGGGGATCGAGCTTTTTCAGTCAGAGGTCCCAACCTGTGGAACACCCTGCCCCTCAACATCAGGCAGGCCTCCTCCCTCCTGATGTTCAAATCCCTCCTTAAAACGCACCTGTTTGCTCTGGCGTTTAATACTGTGTGAGTTAGTTTATTTTGTTCTGTGTACCTCATTTTAAATTCTGTTGTTTTATGATTGACGTTTATTTTTACTGCTTGTTTTTCCTTAGTGTGATCATTAGTGTGTGTTATTGCTCCAGTAATTTTAATTCTGTATGATTTTTTTGTTTTACTGCCTATGTTTTGCTACATTTCTGTTAAGCACTTTGATAACAGTTTATCTGTTTTAAATTGTGCTCTACAAATAAAGATGACTTGACTTGACTTGACTTGGAGCTAACATCAAATATATTAGCTGTGGAGCAAACACTGAGTCATTTCTGCATTCTCCTCTCTGTCAATGCGCTCCAGTTCAAACTAAAAGGGTTGAACATCAGATAATGTCCAAAATTAACATTCAAGTTAAATGGAGCTTGCACCAAAGCACTCTGTCTACATTATTTACCCAGAATGCATTGCAGCGTAAATAAAATGACATTCGTGTGTCAATAATTTTTCAAAATTTCTGAAAGTTAAAACAGCCTATAGTATTTTTACGATCTCATTTTATAGCTAAATTAATTGTTTATTAAATAAGGTGTATTGTTCCAACTAGTTGGAGAGCCCGTTAAGTCAAGGTAAAGGTACTTTGTCATGTGGTGCATGAGGTGGAACCAAATTGTGTACACAGGGTACCATTCAACAAAAGTATACTTGCGGACAAATAAATCTCTCTGACTCTGATAAATAGTAAAATAAGAACAGTAATAAGATCAGAGATGAACTAAGAAATACACTAAACTAAGAATATGCTAAACACGTGATAGTACAAAAACATTACGCCAAGCAACAGCAGCACGAGCATGAGTCTGTGTGAGCAGATGAGTACGATTGAACACGGCAAAATGAAATAAATCAGCATCATGGATAGTCAGCAGTGCAAGAGAAGAGAAGTAATAAAACATTTTATTATTTAAAACAAATTACTTTGACAAGAATGGTCCTACCTGTTTAGTTTTTTTTCTCTCAATATATTTTACAGTACACATACATAATACATACATTATCACCTTCTTTTCCAGATTGTGGTGTTTGGCTGATGTGACCTTGTGAGGTATAAAAGGCACTGAGTCTGACTGGCCAGATATACTACAGACATACAGAACATGAATCCATGGCACTTTGATTGTCTTTAGTTAAAAGTGACCTCAAGTAAAAACAAACGGCAACAAAAATCTGTAACCAATAATCTTAATACAACTTGCTTTTCAATTTTCAGATTTGTTGTTACTACTTTGTGCCATCTGTTTTTTCCTGCATGATTATGTTTGTAATATGTGCACTTGTGTTTGTATAAATAATTCAGACGAGGCAGACAGTGATAGAACAATTAGTCTGATCTCGTCCCGTCTCTGGGCTGTCCAGGTGGAGTTACTCGTATGACCGTGTCGTTAGTCGTCATCATGTTTGAGTTGACTGGAGGTTTGGAGTACATCGTCCCCCTCATGGCTGCCACCATGACCAGCAAATGGGTGGCAGATGCCTTCGGCAGAGAGGGAATCTACGAGGTGACGTGTCTGTGGATGTTTCATGCGTTTTGTTTGTGTCTGAGAATCGGTGTTAAACTTCACTTCTTTTCTTTTATTTGTGCTCTTGAGCCAAAATTCCTGTCTGTAAACTCGGATCGTATTTATAACTAAACCATTTGCACTGTTGGTGTTCTGCAGGCTCACATACGGCTAAACGGTTACCCATTCCTGGAGCCAAAAGAGGAGTTTGAGCACAGCAGCCTTGCTGTGGACGTGATGAGGCCGAGGAGGGGGGACCCCGCGCTGGCCGTGCTCACACAGGACGGCATGACCGTAGGGGAAGTGGAGGTATGGACACAAAACATGAAGGATAACAAACACTGAACTGAAAAGACGGAAACTAGTGTTTTTTGTGCTGTTTGAACTTTCTTTTACAGATGATCTAGTTAAGTTTCTGCTGAGCTCAATCTGAAATCTTCCCTGTTGTTTTCTTTCCTTCAGACCTTGGTGGAGAGCACTCGCTACAGTGGTTTCCCTGTGGTGGTGTCTCAGGAGTCCCAAAGGCTGGTGGGCTTTGTGCTCAGAAGAGACCTGCTCATATCAATAGGTCTGATTTGTCCTTGTGTATGTTAATGTTTACAGTCAGGTTTAGTCAGCACTGTTAAAGCTGTGGAACCAGATTTACACCCTTAGCTTGGTCAAACTGTTTCTAGAGTCTGAGCTCGACTTTCCCTGCCTGGTGTTTCCTTCATTCTCACTTCTCTTGGTACTGCTTCCTCCCCTAACGTCTACTAAAAGCAGTACAGTAGGCCCTCGTTTATTATGGAGGTTATGTTCCGGACCCCACACACACACACACACACACAATAAGTGAAAATCCACGACGTAGCAACGTTATATTTATTTTAGTATTTATATATTTTAAGGGTTTATAAACTCTTCCCACACTTCTTGCAATATTCTAAACTCTTAAACCTATGTCATTTTAACAACATACGTATATGTAGCTACTAAATTTTATTCACCAGCTCTGCAGAACATCAGCTTGGTTCCGCTCCAACTTGGTTTCATTTCGGCGGATCTACCCTGCTGGTTCTGGTCAACTCTCTGGCTCGGGGTAGTGGTGGTGGGCTCCAGAGGGAGCGCCGGACCTACGGCGGCGTGGGCTGGCTAGCAGCTCTCAGATTCACCAAAACATCTGGGGGTCTGGTTCTGCTCTAGTTCTGGTCTGGTTCTGTACAGCCCTTGAGTGCCGAACCGCATTTTGTGTGGGGCTGGACCTTCGGGTGTCCGGTGCAGGTCCGGTGGTCCAATTGAGTGATCGAGATGAAAATAGTCCTGGTGGGCTCCAGCTAGAAGCTGGACCTACAGTGGCGCCTCCCCGCTCGGAAGTCCTCACGGGCCAGCTAGCAGCTCTCGGATTCACCAAAGTGCCTAGAGGTCCGGTTCTGGTCCAGCTCCCGGTGGGTTCCGTGTGGCTCCCTGCATCCACTGGGCGCTGAAGTCATTGTATGAATAAGGGCTGAACTTTTTCGGATCAGATCAAAACTTTCCCTCTAGTATTTCAGCAGAAGGCAACGGGGCTTCTGGGCAGGGGACTATTGACTTCTGGGAAATGTAGTCTTTATGACTGGGGATACAGTGTAGGCTTATTGAGGGCAAACTACAAAATGGCGGTGCCTGTCCTAAGTATTTTATTTTTTGTTAACTTTTTACTGGACAGTATCCAGTACTGTCCCAATCACATAATATTAAAGTTGACAATCATGTGTCGTGTACGAATTATTTTTTTCTTCGTGTTCAATCTTGCTTTGAAAAACCGCAAAAGAGCAAGTCTGCGAAGGTCGAACTGCGAAGGAGCGAGGGACTACTGTAGTCTTCTTGTAGGCCTCTGTTAGACCTGGATATCTCAAAGTTTATGATGCATTTAGCTCAAGCTGTCTGACCCTCATAACTTTAAATTCCTAACAGCTAAAACAGAAATGCAGGCCTCACAATCCAAGTCTGTAAATCATGCAGAAATACCAGAAAATGCACAAACCAAAGGTAAACTGCAACATGCAACAATGGACATATGGTCTGAAGGGCTGAGAATTATTTTCATCCACCCAGTCTTGGTATTCCTCTAAAACATAGTCACAAAAAAACTTTGATTTCTTGTGTTCTGTTAAGAGATTTGTAAATATGAAAGCACATTTTAATTTTGTTTAATGTTTGATAAAGACATGAAACAGGAAAGTTAGACTCAAGAGGATAGTTTCCTCTTAGAGCTTAGATGTACAGGCTATGTGCTGACAACAAGTTGCCTTTAGGAGAACTTCAAAGACTCCAAGAGTCCTATTTCTACAAGAAGAACTGCAGTTTGGTACGAATCAACGTGAATACTTGCACATCATGGACTTCTACTCTGAGAGGTTGTTTCATCAGTGTAGCTGTGTTAGTTTGTAGCTCATTGTTGTACTAGTTATACAGGAAACTTTGTATTCTGACTGTTGCACTGTTTTAAAAATGATTGCCAGGTTTTTTTTCTCCATAATGTAAACCTCTATTTGATCTGAGTAGAAATCTTCTAAACTTTATTCTCAAGACACTTTTTAGCCAGCACATCCACAAGCTGTTTAGATGTTGTATAATAGTAGTAGTAGAATACATCTTTTCATCAGAGCTCAATGTTGTTGTGAGAATTGTTTTTCTCCTAAGGTGGAGGCCTAAAGCTGAGCTCAGAGTGGTATTGTTTACTAATATGGTCATCAGTAACAAGTCTTTGGAAGGTTAAATGTAGTTCTAAATTCAAAATGTATCTATTAATCTGTTCACTCCTCAAAATAAATATTTGAAACCCTCCTTTTCCTTTTTGTTTCACCGTGTCTGGTTTTAGACAACGCCAGGAAGTGTCAGGACGGCATCGTCAGCGCCTCCCTGGTGGTGTTTACAGAATACACCCCGCCGCAGCCGCCCGAAGCTCCGCCTTTCCTTCGCCTAAGAAGCATCCTGGACCTGAGTCCCTTCACCGTCACCGACCACACACCCATGGACATCACTGTGGATATTTTCAGGAAATTGGGGCTTCGCCAGTGTCTGGTTACACACAACGGGTGAGAACAACACCGACTTCATGTTGAAACTCAGACTTTCTATTCGCAGGTCCCAATCTGTCTAGAAAAGGTCAAAGGAACTGCTAACAAAAATTAAATTAAACTAAAAATGCTAAGTAAGACCCCCCACCACCCCAAACTTGTACGTTAATATTTTAATATTAATTATAATTTGTATTACTTTAATATTAATAGAAAATGTCAAACTAGCCACTTATTCCTCGTGCACAGGCTCCAAAAAAATAATGTTTTGGCTTCAGTTAGGAACAATGGACATTTTTAGAGTTGTAAGTTTAATAAAAATCCATCCTTCCGTCTGTCCGTCCGTCCGTTCTTACCTTTCGTCCTTTCTTATCTTTCTCCCTTATCTTCCTTCCTTCCTTCCTTATCTTCCTTTCTTCCTTAATTATTTTCCTCTCATCTTCCTTCCGTCCTTCCTTATCTTTTGTCCTTCTTTATCTTCCGTCTTTCCTTATCTTTCTTCCTTTCTTATTTTTCTCCCTTTATCTTTCTCCTTTTCTTATTTTTCTCCCTTTCTTATCTTCCTTCCTTATCTTCCTTCCTTCATTATCTTCCTTCCTTCATTATCTTCCTCCCTTATCTTCCTTCCTTCATTGTCTTCCTCCCTTAGCTTCCTTTCTTCCTTCATTATCTTCCTCTCATCTTCCTTCCGTCCTTATCTTCCTTCTTTATCTTCCTTCCTTATCTTCCTCCCTCATCTTCCTTCCTTCCTTCCTTCCTTATATGTCTTCCTTTCTTATCTTCCTCCCTTCCTTTTCTTCCTTCCTTATCTTTCTTATCTTCCTTTTTGGGTCACGGGGGTCACTGGCCGTATCCATCAGTCACTGTGTGAGAGGTGGGGGACACCCTGGACTGGTCTCCAGTCCATCACAGGGACACAAAGAGACAACCAACCATTCACTCTCTGACTCACACCTAGGGACAATTTAGAGTTACCAATCAGTCTAACATGCATGTTTTTGGACTGTGGGAGGAAACTGGAGTACCCGGAGAAAACCCACACATGCACAGAGAGAACATGCAAACTCCACCCAGAAAGACCCCTGGCTGGGATTCAATCCGGCGACCTGATCACTGAGAGGCAACAACTCTACCCACTGTGTCACCATGCTACCTAATAAAAAAAATCTAATGAAGTAAATAGTTGATGACTCCTCCCTGACAAAACAGGCAGACAGAAATGTAGAGTAGATATTCAGCCCCAAACAAATGTCTCTGCTGAAACTAGAAGTTGTGTTGCGCTGTAAGAGGCAGGAGTGTCCGAGTCTCGCGTTACCCAGTGAACCTTCATTCACAGGCACCCTTAACAATATACCTTTTGTAAAAGGTTAACCCTCTTCATCATCACCCCTCCTCCTAAAACTTATTTGAGCCAATATTAAAGTAATTTGTCTGTGCCATTATTGGATCTGAAGTCTGGATAGAGATCAGTTTACCGGGACAGAAACTAAACTCCCTCTGCTCTTATGTCAGGTATGCAAAATGTAACCACTTGGATATTGAGTAACTTTCTAGATGTTTTCTCCAAACTTTCTTTTAACTTTGCCTGGAATTCTTCCTCCCCCCTCGAGCTCCATTGAGGCTGAACATTTCAGCCACAGTACAGCTGAACGTCAGACTGTATTTCTGTCTTCATAACACCGTTTAATATTACCTCTGCACAAAATCATTCACCATAACTACAGTGCATGCCCTCACTGAGAATAAACACAAGTGTTTTATTAGTTTTTCTCTTTTACTCTCTCTGGATGTCATGAACACAACTATTGAGCTCTTTGTTTAAACTCAGCGTTCAGATGTTTGGGAAGTAGAATCGTCATTTATCATGAGTTGACCGTCAGTTTGCACATACGGATGTAATCATGCAGCTTGTACGTTTTCATTTCTTTCTTTTTTCGTGACTTGCTGTATTAATTTGAAAGAGGAATGCTGCTATTGATGAAGGCTGCGTCAGGGAGATGTTCAGCTTCAAAGTCTGGATCTAAATCGTGTTTTTCTTTAAGCCTTGCCCTGATCAGGTGCTTTGTCTACATTGTAACTAAAAGGCTGTATGAGAAGAAGAAAAAAAATGGTATGTGTTATAATCTAATCAATCTAAATTTATAATGTGTAAATTTTTAAAGTGCTCAAATACAACCAAAAAAAATGCAGAAATAATCTGGGGAAAAACATCCAAGTTCGTGCTCAATAATCCAGTTAAGTAATCATCAAAGTTAAGTCAGGTCATCTGGATGTTTTTTTTCTTTTTCTTGAAACATTAAATTTTTTATCCAAAAGACTTCATCAAGTCAATTCATTTCAGTTTATTTATATAGCGCCAAATCACAACAAAGTTGTCTCAGGGCACTTTACAGGAACATTCACAAACATAAAAGCCAATTAGTAAAGTTCTCTATCTAAGGAATCCAGCAGACAAGATGAATCTTGGCTTCGTTGCAGTCTCCCATCCTGAGCAAGCACAGTGGCAACAGTGGAAAGAAAAACTCCCTTTTAAAGGAAGAAACCTCCAGCAGAACCAGGCTCAGGACAAGCGGCCATCTGCTTTGACCGGCTGGTTTGAGAGGACAGGAAGGAGAGACAGACGAACACAGAATGGTAGGTCCAGATATAGGTCCAGGTATAGGTCCAGGTATAGGTCCAGGTATAGGTCCAGGTGAATCTGAAAGACAAAAAAAAAAAAAAAAATACATGTTAAAGATAGTAAAAATAATTACAAATACAAAACAGGTTGAGAGTAAGTAAAGACAGAAGTAGAGTTAAAAAGTGTGGTCAGTTTGTCCTCCAGCAGTCTAAGCCTATAGCAGCATAACTAAGGGACAGCTCAGGAAACCCAAGCCGACCCTAACTATAGGATTTAGCAAAAAGGAAAGTCTTCAGCCTAGTTTTAAAACTGGATCATGTGTCAGCCTCACGGACAGAGATTGGAAGTTGGTTCCACAAGAGAGGAGCCTGATAACTGAAAGATCTGCCTCCCATTCTGTTTTGTAAATTCTAGGAACCACAAGTAAACCTGTAGTCTGAGAGCGAAGTGCTCTGTTAGGAAAATATGGAACAATAAGATCTGTAATATAAGATGGAGCTAGGTTGTTGGGGGCTTTGTAGGTTAGAAGTAAGATTTTGAATTTTATTCTGGATTTGACAGGGAGCCAATGGAGAGAAACTAAATCTGGAGAGATATGATCTCTCCCACTAACTCCAGTTAAGACTCTGGCAGCAGCTTTTTGGATCTACTGAAGACGTTTTAAAGAAGTATTTGGACACCCAGATAATAAACCGTTGCAATAGTCCAGTCTAGATGTGAGCAGTGCATGGACCAGTGTTGGAGCCCATTAAGTATTGAATTAATTAATTATTTGCTAAATGATGAATATTGATTTAAAACTACGTTAAATATTACAGATTGCAGAAGAACCATTATGTTCTTATTTAGTTGTTTATGGCTTCCCCTAGTGGGATCAGCCGAGGCAGTGATTAAAACGGGGAATTAAGCTGCTGCGGGGCTGATTGTTGTTTTTTGCAGTGAAGGAGAGGCGTGAAACAGTTTTATTTACCACACACAAATTGTTTAATTTTTGAGATTTGTAAAAAGTCAACTCTGAGAATATTTTGTTAAATTCAACAAGGAAATTAAATGCCGAACTTTTGAAACAAGAAATCTCTCCGCGAGTGCTTATATATTTTGTTGTGCGTTGAGAACCTCCTCCACAAGGTTATTCTGTCTCAAACTTTTTGGAGCTTATGATGAAGCAAGAATATCCACCACAACCAGTGTTTCTGCATCATTTTTATACAAGATGTTTCTAATTTTTGTGATATTACGCAGGTGGAAGAAGGCAGTTCTAGTAACGTTTTTAATGTGGGGGATAAAAGACATGTCCTGATCAAAAATAACACCAAGATTTTTTAACATTAGAACTGGAGGCCAGATTAATGTCATCTAAGGAGGGAGAAAGACTGAAACATTCATTCCTAAGGTGCTCAGGTCCAAAAACCAAAACCTCAGTCTTGTCTGTGTTCAACAGGAGAAAATTAAGGGTCATCCAGGTTTTTATGTCTTTAAGACATGCTTGTAGTCTAAGTAGCTGATTGGATTCATTGGGTTTAATGGACAAATATAATTGTGTGTCATCAGCATAACAATGGAAATTTATCTCATGCTGTTTAATAATTTTACCTAATGGAAGCATAAATTAAAGAATATTGGCCCAAGCACATCAGTATGAGGAGCACAACAAACTCTGTCTCATTGGCAGCACACTCACAAAGTGAGCCAACCAGTTTGATGGTAATCAGATGGTTTCTGAAGCCCACCCTCTCCCCCGTCCATTCATCTGAGGCAGCCATGGCCGAAGTGGTTCAACTCCAGAAAACCACTCTAGAAACCAGTTCATCACCATCAAACTGGTTGATGCACTATGCGAGTGTGCTGCTTATGGGATTGTTTGTTGTGGCTCCTTGGACTGATGAAGTGTATTGGGAGGGAAGGGAAGTCTGAGATTGTCATCATTGTATGGTCCCATACAATGGCAAAATTAGTTCCCTGCTGTGAACCGATCACACCTGAGATGCACCCAGGTGGAGCAGTGTGCAGCTATGTAAGCGCCCGGGGAGCAGTTGGATATTAGGTGTCTTGCTCAGAGACACTACGACATGTGGGCATGGCTGGGAGTTGAAACCGCAACTTTCTGGTCCCAAGTCAGCTGCCCTGCCTCTACCCCATCTCAGCCCTTTTTAGATGAAAGACTAAACATTTTAACATAAAGAAACCGTCCAGAGGACCTGACTTAACTTTGTTGGAGTCTGGGAAAAACTTTGCTCTTTCTTACTACTTCCAGAGGATTTAAGAGTGGAACTATTAGTCGAGTACAACTGTGATTAACTGATCATCAACAGTGTGATTACTAGAGCCCTACTGATATGGACATTTTGGCTATCGCCGATACCAGTATTGGGAGGGGAAGGCAAATGCTGATATCCGA